CTCCCCAGACCCCTACTATGTCGGATTATACTAGGTATGTTGTTGTTGTTGTACTCTTTTGGTATAACTGATCAGTCGAATCAATGAGTTTCGAATATCAATTGTTTAACTCTTACATAAATATCAATATTTATTTAGTTATTCTTTTCATTGTTAGATAATAATTAATTTGCAGATTCCCAATCAAAATTTTCCTATTGTGACCAACGAAATCCTATTTTCACACAGAAATTTATTTTTAAAAAGAAAATAATGATATGACATCATTTTAGCAACTAATCCACAATTTATGTCATTTTTAGATGCATGGTTTTAATATTTTGAGTTGCATCAACGCATGTGTAAGTGTCACCCTTTCCTCTATTACCTTGATGTTATTTATATATATTCTTTTTAGAAAGAAAAAAAACACCCTAAAAACAATGTTATTTTTGTGGTTACCCCTTCTTTTAAAGTACACATCATTCTTTAGTACCTAATTCTTTTCTAAATTAAAAATTAGTTTAATCGTGACTTTATTAGTCAAGGAAATGACGAGAAGTTCGATAAGATTGTTCATTAATTTAATTATAATTCTCTGATAATGGTTGCATGCCCACTTTACTATATTATCTCTATTTTTTTTTGAAATATTTGCTATGGTACAGTTAACAATTGAAATATATCCAACTTTTGTTTATTGCTATGAGTATCTCACTTTGAATAAACATAGAGTTAGGGTGTGTTTGGTATGAAGGAAAATATTTTTTGTTTGGTTGGCTAAAATATTTTGGAATATTTTTTTTTATGAACTCATTTTTTTTTCAGTTGGAGGAAAATATTTTCCCTATCAAGAGAAGGAAAAATATTTTCCAAAGCTCTTTTTTAACCTTCCCCACCATATTCACTATCCCTACCAACCCATCCCCACAACCCTCGCCCACACTACCCCACCCCCCGCCCTACCCTCCACAAATATTATTAATAGTGTTTTATTTTTTTTATGTTATAGATAGATTTTATTTTTCATTTCAACAAATGAGTATTTTCTTTTCATGATATAAAAAAGTATTTTTATTTTATTTTAATAAATAATTACTTTCTTTTCATGATGTAGAAAAACTATTTTCTTTCATTTCAACAAAATAATAAACTAAAAAGTATTTCCTTTCATTTCAACAAAAAAAAGTATTTTCTTTTCATGATGTAGAAAAAGTATTTTCTTTCATATCAACAAAATGAGTATTTTCTTTTCATGATGTAGAAAAAGTGTTTCCTTTCATTTCAATAGAGTATTTTTTTTCATTTCAATAAAATGAGTATTTTCCTTTTTATGATGTAGAAAAAATATTTTCTTTTATTTCAATAAAATGAGTACTTTATTTTCATGTTGTAGTAAGAGTACTTTTTTTCAACCAAAAAAGAGTATTTTCTTTTTAACTATGGAAGACAAATTCCAATGTTGTTTTTGAGTAAAAAAGTAAAGCATCACATTAGTTAATTTGGGTTTGTGTGAATTTTTAGAAGAATAATTAAATTCTTGAAGAAAATAGAGTCTTGAAAACGTTGGGTAGTATGGGAGGGGGAGGGAG